AAAGGATTTACAACAGTCAACCTGCTCCAGCCTCCCCAGTATCGAATCTATCAGCTTTTTCTCAATGGAAACCTCCTGACAAGACTGTACCCTAACGAATTTGTCAATTACTCCAATGCGGTGACTCTTCACCTAGGTAACAATGGGTTACAGGAGATTCGAACTGGGGCATTCAGTGGCCTGAAAACCCTCAAGAGACTGCACCTTAATAACAACAAGCTCGAGGTATTGAGAGAGGACACTTTCCTTGGCCTGGAGAGCCTGGAGTACCTCCAGGCTGACTACAATTACATCAGTGCCATAGAGGCAGGGGCATTCAGCAAACTTAATAAGCTGAAAGTGCTCATCCTGAATGACAATCTTCTGCTGTCATTACCCAGCAATGTGTTTCGCTTTGTCCTGCTGACCCACTTAGACTTGAGGGGGAACAGGTTGAAAGTAATGCCTTTTGCTGGTGTCCTTGAACATATAGGAGGGATCATGGAGATTCAACTGGAGGAAAACCCATGGAATTGCACTTGTGACTTACTTCCGCTCAAGGCTTGGCTGGACACCATTACTGTTTTTGTGGGAGAGATTGTCTGTGAAACTCCTTTCAGGTTGCATGGGAAAGATGTGACACAACTGACCAGGCAAGACCTCTGTCCCAGAAAAAGTGCCAGTGACTCCAGTCAGAGGGGCAGTCATGCTGATACACACATCCAAAGGCTGTCACCTACAATAAATCCTGCTCTCAACCCAACTAGAGCACCAAAAGCCAGCCGGCCACCTAAAATGAGAAATCGTCCAACACCCCGCGTGACTGTGTCAAAGGACAGGCAGAGCTTTGGACCAATCATGGTGTACCAGACCAAGTCCCCTGTGCCCCTCACCTGTCCCAGCAGCTGTGTCTGCACCTCTCAGAGTTCAGACAACGGTCTGAATGTTAACTGCCAAGAAAGGAAGTTCACTAATATCTCTGACCTGCAGCCCAAACCTACCAGTCCAAAGAAACTCTACCTAACAGGGAACTATCTTCAAACTGTCTATAAAAACGACCTCGTAGAATACAGTTCTTTGGATCTGTTGCATTTAGGAAATAACAGGATTGCAGTTATTCAGGAAGGTGCCTTTACAAACCTGACCAGTTTACGCAGACTTTATCTGAATGGCAATTATCTTGAAGTGCTGTATCCTTCAATGTTTGATGGACTGCAGAGCTTGCAGTATCTCTATTTAGAATATAATGTCATTAAGGAAATTAAGCCACTGACCTTTGATGCTTTGATTAACCTACAGCTGCTGTTTCTGAATAACAACTTGCTGCGGTCCTTACCTGATAATATATTTGGGGGAACAGCTCTCACCAGGCTGAATCTGAGAAACAACCATTTTTCACATCTGCCTGTGAAAGGGATTCTGGATCAACTTCCAGCATTTATCCAGATAGATCTACAAGAGAATCCTTGGGACTGTACCTGTGACATTATGGGGCTAAAGGACTGGACAGAACATGCTAATTCCCCTGTCATCATCAATGAGGTGACTTGTGAGTCTCCTGCTAAGCATGCAGGGGAGATCCTGAAATTTCTGGGAAGGGAAGCTATTTGTCCAGATAGTCCAAACTTGTCAGATGGGACTATTTTATCAATGAATCACAACACAGACACACCTTGGTCACTTAGTGTGTCTCCTAGTTCCTATCCTGAACTACACACTGAAGTTCCACTTTCTGTCTTAATTCTAGGATTGCTTGTTGTTTTTATCCTATCTGTCTGTTTTGGGGCAGGTTTGTTCGTCTTTGTCCTGAAACGCCGAAAGGGAGTGCCAAGTGTTCCTAGGAGTGGCAACAACTTAGATGTAAGTTCCTTTCAATTACAGTATGGGTCTTACAACACAGAGACTAATGATAAAACTGATGGTCATGTCTATAACTATATTCCCCCACCTGTGGGTCAGATGTGCCAAAACCCCATCTACATGCAAAAGGAAGGAGACCCAGTAGCCTATTACCGAAACCTGCAAGAGTTCAGCTATGGCAACCTGGAGGAGAAAAAAGAAGAGCCACCCACACTTGCTTACACAATAAGTGCCACTGAGTTGCTGGAAAAGCAGACCACACCAAGAGAGCCTGAGCTGCTATATCAAAATATTGCTGAACGAATCAAGGAACTCCCCAGTGCAGGCCTAGTCCACTATAACTTTTGTACCTTACCTAAAAGGCAGTTCGCCCCTTCATACGAATCTCGACGCCAAAACCAAGACAGAATCAATAAAACTGTTTTATATGGAACTCCCAGGAAATGCTTTGTGGGGCAGTCAAAGCCTGACCACCCTTTACTGCAAGCTAAACCGCAATCAGAACCAGACTACCTCGAAGTTCTGGAAAAACAAACTGCAATCAGTCAGCTATGAAGGGAAATCATTTACAACCCTATGGCATCAAAGGATGCTGCTTCAAACTGTTGGAAACACTGCATTTGCTTTTGTGTTTGTTTCTCCCTTTCCCAGTGCTAATGGGGGACTGTGCAAACATTGGGAGATAGGGTAAAGCAATGATATTGCTTTTGCAAGTTTTCCTTTAAATTATTTCTTTCTTGCTCTCCCACCTTCACTTTTTCCCCTTCTCTTCTTAGGAACCATCAGTGAACATGAATGTTTCTACAATGCATTTTTTTTCGTATGTTTTGTTTAGGATTTTGTTTTTGTTTTTATTTTTTTCCAATGTGGGGGTGAAAACAAGAGTATAGCAAAATGAAGGAAGAATAGGCAAACTTTTCAAATGAAAATGGTTAGTATATTTTGTAGAAGATCTCCAAAGATCTTTTGGGACTATAACTTCTTTTGTAAATAATGATATGGTATTTCCATCTTCAGTTACCAAGCATAGCCACTGGGCATCTCTTCTTTGTGTTAAAGTGCCTTCGCACTTTAAGTACATTACTTAAATGTTGCTTTTAGCTTTGACAAATTGAACATATTTTAATGTGTTGCATTTTTGAAATTGAAAATAATGTAAAATAGATCTATATGTCAGCTATATTAAGTCAAATCTTGAGTTATAGAAACCAGCCTGTCATCAGATGATTCTAGTTTAGAACTTTATAGACTTAACTGTAAAATATGTGCTTTTCTCTGGATTTGTTTTAAGTGGTTTTATTTAAGTCAAGTAAGGGTATTTAACAGTGGACTAGAGGTAATAAGCTTCCTCAGTTGGGATTAGTAATTCATTAATAAAAATATATTTAACCCAATATCAGAGTGAATTGAACAATTAATGCCCTTCTGTAAATCATTATTTTACACTAACATGGTCAGTATTTTAGATTATTTTCCTAATTAAGAATACATTACACAACTTGTAATATATTTTTCTGCATTAAATTAGATATTTTTATATATTTAAATGAAAGAGTCTGTATTTCTAACTTTTTAATTGAAATTAATATTTTTTCTGCCTGTTGAAACATTTTCTATAAACATGCACCAGTAGAGGCCGCCACACACCTCATTTAATCAAGACATAAGAGCCATTAAATACCTTGGAGGAAGACTTCAAAGGTGAGATTAAAGCTTCCCAGAAAAGTTCTCTGCAAATTCAAAGCAGCAGAGATTTAAAAAAAGATATACATTACTTTCTTTTTTAGGATCAAAGCTTAGATTCAGAATTCTTTTCAGTTTTCACATTTTCTGACAAAACATTTTTCTCTTAAGTTTAATTCAAGCATTTATGGGGTGCTATCGGATCATGTACTGTTTGCATCTCTAGATCCATTAGTAGTTACCTGAATCACGACATTAAGCATCTTTTCTTTCTGCCTTGTTTTGGCATGTTTTACTTGGAAATTTCTTTGTCAGATTCAGCAAGGCTTTCATTTTGATCTTAGCATTAAAATGATTTTAACTAACTAAATCTATATAACATTTATAAAGCCTTACTAGCCTGTAAATATTTTTAGATGCAAACATTATTGTGTGACTTAAACAAACAACCTTTCTTTACAACAAAAAATAGTTTTGTTTTGTCTATTGTAAATCCTTATGCAACTGGGATGGTGATCTGCATATAAAGTAGTCCAGCTTTTCAATTCCTTATTAAAGCAAGTGATGGCGTCTGAAAGAAGCACACTGTTTCCTTTTCATAAATAGGTTACTGCATATAATAATCCTTTATTATCATGTGGAGATTGAAGTGGATCCTGATAACTTACTTTTAAAGCTTTAAAATGACGAATAGTATATTGTCTGCCACTATTAACAACTCATGTGATAAGCTTTCAATTAGAAATTACTTAAATACAAATTACTCAAATTAATAAGCATTGGTGCAAAATAGTTTTTTCAACAATAGAAGATAATTGTGCACATATACAAATGTAAAAGGCATTCGGGAAAAAATGGCTTTAACAATCTAAAATCTACAGTGACGAACTAATGTGTTCATTCTTTTATTAGAGATCATAATTTCTGCTTAAATACATTAGATCAAAATTGAAGATGGTGGGCTAAAATGACTTACAAGAAAGTTAATATATACAAATTTTACATTTCACAGAAAAGGAGCTATAGTACTGAGCTAGTTGACCTCAGAGATACTTCCTAAACATCGCCTCATTTTTGAGTGAAGTATTTATGTATAAAACAGTTTTAAAAATCCTCTTGTAGCTGCTCTCATTTATCACAATGATAAAAACAATACAGAGGTAGGTATTTTGAGAGGTAATCATGAAGGAAAATTGGCATATAGCATATTAAAACAGTTTTTTGTTTAAATTACATGACTAGAGCCACTGACGTAGTGATTCCACTTTAGTGTGTGTTCTTACTCTCCTGAAAGTAAAGTTACTCCTAAAAAAATAATTATTAATCTTAAAGGAAGATACGTTAACATTCATTTACTTCTGTGATTTAAAAGAGGTCTCCTGGAGCAACTCAAATCCATGAACTCTTTTTCTATTAAGCAAGTTCTAAATTCTCATGTTTCTTCATTTGCCTTAGGTTTTAAGAAAAAAAGTGTTCAAATGTAGTCCAGAATATTATATTTAGAAGCATAATATACCTTATATTTTGGAGCTTATTTTCTAATTCCTTTATATACATTTCAAGTTTTATTAACTTATCAGCATCCCATGGACTATATTTTGTTTTATCTGCTCAAATGCTTTCAAACTCATTTTATTTTAGGATTTTTATTTTTATCTCTTCCAGCTGGATTTTGCTATTTCCCTTTCACTTCACATGCAGCTTGTAGTGGGTGTGACAACACTGAAATTGTTCCAGCCAAAAGAATGCTGTTCCCAGGGCCCTGCCTGGAACAGATCTAGGTGTCTAGCTTTGCAAATGGCAAATGGTAATTCCTTTTGATTCTAGCTCTTAATTAGTTGTTTTCACTGTTTCTGAGTATACCAGTGGCTAAATTTGTATTTAAATACTCAAAGTGCCACTTCTCAAACTAGACACCATTATCAAGAGTCCAATTTTGTTGTGAACTTTGGTCAAACTGTGTGCCTTTTTCCCTCCAGCATTTGATGAGTAAAGAAATCATTCTTCAATTTCCTCTTCTTGGTCCTCTGTCTTCTAAGGTGGCTTAATTTTTTTAATGATTCTATGTCACTAAGGGCTAAATATTTTATGAATTTTAAAAAAGTATGTAATGAACAAGAGAGAAATTCTGTCATTTTTCAGAGCCTGAAAGTTCATTTTGATCCTATACATTCCAGGAACATACTGAGTTGGATGCTACAGTGAAAAAAGCCTTTCAGACAATTCTCTTAATTCATTTGTTTCTTCATTCATTCAATATATGTTGAGTGTTTTCTTCCTAGGTGCCATGCTCTACTATGTGCTGAGGGGACACAGAGATACACACAGTAGACAGGATATCTACTGCCCTCATTCCACCCCCGCCACCCCACTCCCACTGCTACCAACTACCCCAGATCCCCACAAGACTCCCACATCCCTGGCAATAAGCTTATTGCAAATAATGGAGAACTTTATCTGAATGAAAATCAACCAGAGTAAGCAATGAGAACAGTAATACAATGCAACATGTTGAACTTTTAAAGTTAATTTTGTGCAGTAAAGTATAAAACTTATAAATAGTCTGGCTACAGTGTAACCACTATTAACATCTCTTTGGAGCTACACAACTAACAAGTTAAAAAAAAAAAAAAGTAAAACAAGCTGCTACAGAATTGGGCCCGATATTAATGGCCTGAAGATAGCTGTATCCTTGAGCTATCTAAAGATCTACTTTGTAAAGTTGAGTACTGAAATTGTAAATAGAAAATTACAAATGTACTTAAATTTTTGGAATATTCATGTTTTAGAGATAAGGTTTACTTTATATTTTAGTGGTGTAAAAGGTACTTTTTTGGCTTACATATCTTCTACAGGTTCAATTATAAAACAATTGTGAGAGAGAAAAATTAAGTACTGTATATAGGTGTACTTTTCTTCTCACAATGGTTGTGCAAAAAATCATGTGTAAGTTGAAGTTTTATAAATCAAATTATATTTTAAATGCATTAAGGAAGCTGCCATTTAGAGGAAACTTGTGAATTCGTTTATAAAGCAGAAAAAATTTTATAATACAAAAAAACACTCTAATATATCTGTTTTATATGTTTTGATTTTCAATATCAACTTTGTTTAAAATAAGAGCCCATGTGCATATTTAAGGGTGTGTTTTACCAGTGCTGCTGTTTGTGCTACAGGTTTCTCGGTTGCTAAGGTCTTATACTTAAAAGTCTGCCACAGTTTCATGTGAATTGAGCTATCCAGCAGTTCTATGATGGCACAGTAGAATTCCTGAGCAGCCCAAGTAGTCAACCCATTTCAACTCAACTCAACACAGGACTTTTGTGCTCAGCAGTATCTCCCCTCACAAATATGATCATGATTCATTAGACGGTAGAATGACTCCTGTATTGACATTGTATAAAGTGCTTAGAGTCATAAGTTTTATAATAAATATATGCTATTATGTAAACATACTGAATTGCATGTGTGTTGAAATTTTTTAGCAATATTTTAGCTTGAAAGTACTTGTACAAATACTGTTAGATTTAGTTGTGAATAATTGTTCTCAAGTTATTGGAATAAATGGCCAATGAAACAAGTTCTTGTGTAAATAGACTTCTGTGCCAAATAGTGACATTGCTTAAGAAAATAAATGTCATATTTTGAGCTGTTAATAGGCAAAATGACCTATTGGAGATATGATCAAATGATACTGTATTTTATTGGATGAACTGTTAACACAGTTACTTTCTGCCGCAGTTAGCTTTCAGTTAACAAATATTTACTAAAACTGACATTTGAATTGTTACAAAAAAATTTAGAAACTTAAAAAGAATTGATAAAATATTTCATGCTGTCCTCTTTGCCTTGTATATATTGCTCAAAAGCTTACAAATTAAGACTTTTATTCTTTATGTGATTATGCTTTACCTTTTTAAGGTAAAATAAGATTTGAAAAATATATTAATACTTAAAATGTACTGATTCTTATCCATGAATTTCTGTTAGTATCATACTTAAAAATTAAAAGTAAAACATAATAACAAAACATTTCAGATACAGATGTCTACAGACTGGCCATACTTTCTCTACACACATATACACATTTACATTGAAGCCAACTGTTTTTGATTATAAAATTTTTTTAATGTCATGAGTGTCTGATTATTCATATTTTATAAAGTAAAAGACACACTGACATACAAACCCAGGAAATAGAGGTAATAAATTCATTAACATAAATGCTATTCTTGTGTTCATAAAAGTTAGAGAATTAAAAGAAATGAGAGAGAGAGAGAGAGAGATCCATTTGTTCCTGTGATTATGGTGATATATGGCAAAGTGACTTCTTTTGTTATTTGTATTTGGCTAAAACACCAGAATATGTCTGCCAGGTACACTCCATTTATAGATACATAACATAACAAAATATTTGAGATTCCTCTGGCAGATTTGAATACTTAAAATGTATTATTTGTTTTAAGATATATTTCTTATTCTACATAAAATTAACAGTCTCTTGGGATAGTACATATATTAGCAATCTGTTGAGATTTTTATATGTACAGTATATCCTGTTTATCCATGTGACATTCAAGGAGGAGAATCAATGCTAGTTTATAAGAGAATTTTATCACTTAAAAAGATCAGTTGTAAAGGAAGGGAATAAAAGTAATGTACAGTAAAGTACCTCATTCTGAACACATGTAATGTGTTCATCAACAAGTCCATAGGTATGTGCTGATACTAGGAAAAGACCATCAAAATAACTATTATTGTTCCTGGATGGATGCTATAAGTATACCCAATTCATATTTCCCTGAATAACTGCTTTATAAATAGTCACACATCATTTTATTAATTTAATTTAAAAATATTATGTTTGCTATCAACATTTACCATAAAAAGCAACATTTGAACTAGTTATCTGTCAGATTGTCAACTGACATTTTTGGACATTTTGATCTTGACAGAATGTTAGCTACAACACGCAATCTGAGATACCTTCCAGCTCAGGAAGTGACTGCCAGCCAGACAGGATTGGTGACTGGACTCTACTCTGGGTAATCCTTGACCAAATCCTTCACTTGTCAAGTCTCTTCCACTTACATATTGTTAACACCTGATAGTGTTTTGGGGCATAACACTCCAATAAATAAATGAAAAGTTGAGATTTTGCCTCTCATATGAACACTAAAGAAAGTGTTGAAACCTGGAAGATCTAAGTTCATAACAAAATTACAGTGGATAATTAGCTGTTCAGGAAATCTTAGACAAATATTTAGTCTTAATATTTTCACATATTTTAAGAAACACACACATACAGGTATGCAAAGACATACCACATGAGCATGGCAGAATAGATATGGTAATATAAAGCCAAGGTCCAAATATTATTACATGCAGGAAGGCCCAATTTCAGTGATACTTTGGTCTGTCCATTGAACCCAATGATCTCATTCTAGAGTTCAAAGTAGCTTTACTGCTGAGCTGTGAGACTGTGTTATTATTGGCTTTTAGAATTAGGAGAGTCTGAGTTGAAAGAAATTTCACTCACTAACAAGCTTGAATAATTCTTTCAAAACTTGTCATTTAGTTCTTCCTATGGTTCTGTGTATTTGAGTTGTTTCTTCTGTCTTCCAGATTAGAGAGAAATTCTTTGGTATCAAGACAATATTAAATCATATTTCTGTCAGAACAAGTTTATTTCATAAATTCCTGTTCATACAATGTAAGAACCAACGGGTGGTATTTCTAGTGATGAGTCCTAGGATCTGAGGTACTGATCTAAGAATGGCTATAAAGTCGTGACAACAAGTCACAGCTCTCATTGGGCCTCATTTTCCCCATTTGGGAACAAAGCTGGATTGGATGAACTCGAATACCTCCCAGTTTGGTACTTTATGATTCTAGGTCACTTTGGGAATGGCTGCTATAAGAACAATGAGACAATTATAATTCAAAAAATCTATTATACCTCTTCTCCATTCAGTTGTCTGGTTTATACACAGTCCTAACCTTATTCAAATGCTTCATTTATCTGTCCTTAAATTTCGAAAGTTTAAATACTTATTCTAACTTCCATATAAATCATATGTTCCACTGCTCTTTTTTGGGTGGGGGCAAGTGGTATGAACTTTCCATTTATCTGTTTTTCAAGAGAATTGTCTTTCCTATTGATGAATAACTTTAGTTATTCTGTTGATGATTAAGCAAATTAAAATCTGTCTAGGAAGACCACATCATCACATTTCAGGGAAAATAGCATTTTCCCCTTTAAGTTGTTCACCATCCCACTCTTTTAGTCAACACTACCAAGTTTCTTATCATCAGAGAAACTGATGGACCCTTGGACAAATTAGTTGAGCTTTAGAAGTTCAGTGATTCATTTCAATGAGCAAAGCTCTTATCTGACAAGTGCTATTTGGCTTCTTCTTTATCATAAAATTTAGCCATAGTTTTATTGCTGGGTCGATATGTGTGTGTGTGTGTGTGTGTGTGTGTGTGTGTGTGTCTCTCTCTCTTTCCAGTTAACAATGTCCTCAATCTTATAATATTCACTTGACGTGACCTTTTGCAAAAGTTGAAAAAGGAAGTTGTATCCATTCAAAAAGTTTCTCTGCTTTCCATAGGTTTCTCAGGGTCTTATTGCAAGCATTAGTGAATAAAAGAAAAATCCAGCAATATTTTGCTGAGTGTTTTTTTCTGTCATGTTACAGAAAGTTA